CGAACTTCTAACTTCGTCGAGTTTCTCCTCCGGCCTTGAGTTGTCGACCTTAGTGTTCTCGCTTTAATCGCTCCTTTACGGCACTTGATTGCCCTAGTGCTTGTTTCCGACTGCAATGGGAGTGGCTTGCCTCCACTTTGTCGCCTGGTATTGTGTCGTATTGGGCACATTAGACATCTCGCGAGGTGGTACGACGTGGTATGCGACGGTATAGACCGGTCCATACCAACCCATACCGCTGGTTACTTTTCCTGATGCAGCTCGATTTCAGGACGCGAGTACTGCAAACCCTCGACTTGGAAATGAGTGCCATCGCCGCTTCCCTGAGAAGTGGCCCAGACACTTGTTTTGCAACTTTAGTCAGAGACACTTTTGTACGAGTGCCCCGAGCACTTGTCCCCGAAGCACTCTTTTCGCGCGCCGTCCAAACCAGTGTACTTAGCACTCATTTGTAGTGGAAGAGTGACGGAAGCACTCAAAATAAATGCTATTACTTCCCGTAGTGTGTATAGAATGAATATGGAAATAAAGCCTTTCATGAGCACGATACTCTATATGCTTGCACGGGAGACGAAATCTAAATAGAGTACAGAAAGCGTGCAAAGTTCTACAACTCAAAGTACATGACGACAGTCCATCACCGCCCTCACTCTTTCCTAAAAACATCAGGCCAAACCACCCTCAACTCCTCCAACTTGGTGACAACGACCAACTTGTCGTCCTCCTCAGCATCAACCCCACTCCCTCATCGCTGCGCCATAAGTTCCACTGCAAAACCACTGTAGCAACGTTAACTGGAGTTACGCAAGGTGCTGACGCCAGCGCGGCTTCATCGTGGGGGAAATGTCGGAGGAATAACATCGAACCTATCATGTCCCCTGTTTAATTTGATACACAGGCACGCGTGAGTCCGCGCAGTCACATTCGCGGGAGTTGGTCTCGATGCAGCACAGCCACAAACGACAATGTTCTTACACACCTTCTAAATAAGGATATCGATGCTCCAAATACAGATCCCCACGGCCCGCGGACGTCCTGGCGTAAGCGAAATCGCGTCAAGGCAGCTTCTCGCCGACAGAAACGACGAGCTGTTGACGATCTCCAGCGTGCTCCTGGCTAGTTCCTGGCTGTTTGCCAAGGGTGCGTTGTTGCGGATCACACTCTGCAATCCAAAGATACTTTTTCCATGTGTCTTTTCTCGGAACTCCCTGAGGGTTTGTCTGATTACCAACTTAACATACCCTCGCTCAAGACTTACACCGCTGGTACTTTTATACCACGATAACACTCTCTTCTCATTCCTTTCCCATTGGCATTCCCCCTCTTCACTATGCTTGGTCGTACCAGCCAGCTGTGGAACAGATCCACTGCTCTAGCAGCTCTCTGCATCGCAGTGGCTCTGATCGCATCGACCCCAGTGGACGCACTGAAGCAACCTAACCTCCCTCACGTTGCAAATCCCTTTGCTGACCCCAAGGATGATCCGTACAACCCTCTTAGATATATCGCATCTAATGCTCTGACCGCGGTTGCATTCAGTGAGAACCATGTCCCCTTCCTTCCGTGCAGCGTTGACCCTTTGTTTGCGACCAGGTCTGGTCCTCCTATGTGCCCTTTTCCAATCATACGCAATGCGGAAGTGGGGCGCCATTTGGATGATGTGCATGGTCATCGGCGAATATAGTGCGTCCTTTCATCTCTCAAAACCCTGTGCCGCGCCCTAGACGCTTTCATTGCAGCTTTCGCCACCGGCATCGCCCTTCGATTTGGTCTACACAAAAATCCCGATTCTAAAGGCATCTACATTGCCGAGTACCTACTCGTGGTTCTCTCGGTAAGTGCCACTTTTTTCAAGTTCGTCCTTGGATCAGAAATTTTATACAATTTCTCGTTTGTGGTGGACAGCCTTGTGCGTTCATAGCAGGAGACTACATCCTCCTCGGTCGACTGGCCCGTTACCTCAAATGTGACAAACACCTGCTCATCCGGCCGTCCCGAATTACCCTGGTGTTTGTCTGCTCCGACATTACAACATTCTTAATTCAGGTGAGTTCAATAGTTCATTCCCAAGGGTGCGTCGTTGACATATTCCACCTCGATATGATCAGGCTTTGGGCGGCTCAGTTGAAATTGCCACCACCTCTGTGACCGTCTCTCAAACAGGATCTCACGTATGCAACTCCCACTTCCGGGCCAGCAGAAGTCTAATACGACCCCCTTCACTTACAGATCTTCCTGGCAGGTCTAGCCGCCCAGTTAGCTTCCTTCTTCTTCTTCACCTGCACATACCTCCTCTTCTTCTATCGAGTCCATAAGTACGAGCCTCAAGCGTGGACAAAGGATGAGGGTAAGAAATGGTATCACGACTGGCGCACTTTAGGCTATGCGATAATTTTCAGCTGTATCGGTATCCTCGTAAGCCACCCTCTTCATAACATTGATACTGATTGTAAACTGACCGTTTGATATATAGATCCGTTCAGTATACCGTACCATCGAATTATCCCAAGGTTTCCGAGGATATCTAGCCACGACAGAACGGTTCTTTTACGGTTTGGACACCTTACCTCTGTTTATCGCAGTTGCGATATACGTACCGTTCTGGCCTGGGAGGTTCATTCCACCGTTTTTGAAAGAGGAGGATGTGTCGAGTACGAGGACGGCTTCGGAGGAGACGGGGCAGGGGCATGTGGAGGAGGAAAAGGCTCCGGAGCTTGCGCAGGTTTGATTTGAGCGGGTTGGTGAAGAGGGTGGTGGTTGTAGATGGGTTTGGCTTTGGGTGATGGACTTTTTTGGGTTCTTGGTCGCTATTCCGTTATCAGTCGTTCTTTAGAGTAATTGCATACACAGCATCATCATGTATTTTTGTCGCTATTAGTTGTCGCTATCATGGTCCGCTCTCCATACATCACTGCGACCTGGATTTCAGGGAAGCCGTGGCTGGGACTGTAGGATGCATGCCACTTGCGGTTGCAGTGATACCTCTTTCTCCACCGCTCGAGAATTCACCTTTCGTTTGGGGGTGTGAAGTTCTTGATTGTATCCATTCAATTCCTCCAACGCTCTCTAACTCACTTCGTACACCAAGTCGGAGTGCGTTGGCATGTGGCAGTGGCACATTACAAAGTCCGTGGTGGAATCAAACTCATTCCTGCGCACGTAGTGCTCCATCCGAGGGGACAGCGGATTGGGGAACAAAAAGCTTAATGTTGACTATGAGGCCTTACCAGGAATCGAACCTGGGTTCCCGGAAATCCCTGTTCAGAATCCGATGTGATAACCGCTACACCATAAGGCCGTTGTTCTTGCAGTACTTGACAATGCTATGTATGGTGCAGTTCACTTAGTCACCACCTACTTTGTACAGCCGCCAAATCGACCGAAGGTCGAATTTTTTTTTGTTGTGTACCTCTGAGAGCCTTTTGCATGATGTTTTTGGTATATTTTCACCCCAAATCTGACTCAAACCTCCCCTGCGAGCCCGTAACGCGACGGGGAACACACCTTTGTTGGTCGAGGATGTTCCCTGCGAGAAAAATTTGAGATTTTTGCCACACAAATTGGGTGAAATACAGTCCAAATTTGGTTTAACGGGTTGTCAATGACTGAAATGGGTCCTGATGGCGGTTTGGAGCTGTTATTTGGCCGTGGTGAGACCGTCCTGTCACCCTCGGCCAATCTGAGCCTCCGAGAAATTGCTATCTCCACCGATTTACAGCGCCTTTCATCGTTTTGCGGAAAACTTGAAATTTCGTTTTCCTTTCAGCCACAAGCAGGACCGTGAGACGAGTCCTAGGACGTCTCCCAACAATGTCCCCGAGACCAGTCCTTGACGCATGTCACCGGTTTGGGCAACTGTGGCGTATCAACACTAAATGGTACCCATTGTGAACTATGCGCTTGGTGACAAAACCATATAATTTTGGAGTGCACAGTTAGTCCCCAAGAGGCACTTCTACTGCCTGCAGTTGTGTAAACGACTCCAAAATGCTCCGGAGAGAAATTACAGTCCATTCTCGCTCTAAGAGGGTTCGGACAAACCCGACACGACACGCGACGTCCATCAAAGGCTTGAGGCCCAGAGCCGCAGGAAAACGTCGGTCGCGGACTTAGACTCGCGAAACGGGAAAACAAGAAAACGCGGATTCCGCATACTCTTGAAAAGCGCTGTAATAGCAATCGAAAATCGGTCTTGCCAATCTCTTCCCCCAATCAAAAGGAGTCGTTTGGCAAGACCAAATAATATTCGCATTTTTATTCGAATTTCCCAAGATTTTGTAGAAAAGTAGCGGTGACTAAGTGAACCGCACCATAGCGTCCGAAACTGAATCACAGGAATCGATTGGGTGACAAAAAAAAAGTGTCTTAGGCCTTACCAGGAATCGAACCTGGGTTCCCGGAAATTCCTGTTTCAGAATCCGATGTGATAACCGCTACACCATAAGGCCATGCCGTCTTCGGCGGCTTCGACATCTAGATCAGAAGAATTTGAGGATTGGATTCGCCGAAACCTGTAACTTGGGGAGTCATGTTTAGCCGATCTTATCTGTTGTCCACTGAAATTGGAGGACAGTTTTCCTCATCATGTCCGTTTTCTTACCTCTGCTGGAGACTCTCGACGCCGAATTGCTCGCCCCTTTGGCAAGGGTCGGGCCAGTGATCGTATCGTCCCTAGCCAACTACGATACGTCCTCGTTCCCCCCGTGCTCTCGATACATTCTTCTGGACCACGATTCCTCTTTTACCTTAGACGAGATCATTTCCTACCTCGACAATGGGGCTGAAAAGGTCATCATACCCTTGCCTTGGGCAAACGATATCATCGGGATAATACCATCGGAACGTCTGATGCTCCTCCTGGACGTCGGGGCAGCCAGCGCAGTATCCGACCGAATCAGAAACGGGGTATCAGGCGTATTGATCAAGACGCCCACCGTCGACCCCGATTTGATTTCGTCCGTCTCCCGGTTCTTCTCTCAGGGATCCCTATATGTCCTACCAACGACCCCAATATCCCCGTCTCAAACTCTGCTCCGAAATCTATGGGGCACCAAAGCAGGCCTTGTCATTCCCACATCGCAGCTTACCCTTTCTATCTCATCCGACAAAAAGATCAATGTTGCGGACGCTTTTATAACGCCCCTCACGTCGGATCGATCTGATGGTCTTTTTGCGACCGTCGTATCGTCATTTTTGCAAGGGGGGCGCTCCCTGGGCCTCGTATACTCTTCTGTTGCATCTATCAAGGAGAGCATTCTTACGGGGAAGGGGGTATATCATTCTCGTAAACACGGTTTATGGAAGAAGGGGGAAACGTCCGGTGCTACCCAGGATGTGGTCAGCATTCGCTTGGACTGCGACACTGATGCCCTGGAGTTCAGCGTCATCCAACATGGATCTGGCTTCTGCCACCTCAATCGAGCCTCTTGTTTTGGTGGTTTGACAGGATTGTCAGCCCTCGAGAGTACCTTGAAATCCCGTCTGGTATCCGCACCAGCCGGGTCGTACACGGAGAGGTTGTTCAAGGACTCGGACCTCCTGCGGTCCAAAATCATGGAGGAGGCAGATGAGTTGTGCAAAGCAGAGTCAAAGGAGGACGTGTCATTTGAAGCCGCCGATCTCATCTATTTCGCCCTCACCCGTTGCGTTGCGGCGGGAGTCAGTTTGGCGGATATCGAGGCATCCTTAGACAAAAAGGCGAGAAGGATCAGTCGGAGACCTGGAAACGCCAAAGCTCAGTGGTCGAACAGATCGACCACGAAAACGTCACCTCCACCTTTGGGTAGCCCTCCCAAACCGGAAGTTAATCCCGACGAACCCATCCGCATGCGCACGTACGACCTCGGCAACATCTCAAAACCTGATCGAGCGAAGCTCTTGCGCAGACCAGTGTTGAACTCAGATCAGATGATTGCCAAGGTGAAGCCCATCGTGGATGACGTTCGAATCCGAGGGGACGTAGCACTGCGTGAGCTGACGGCCAAATTCGACAAAATCAAACTCACAGACGTTGTCACATTCCCTCCATACGCTTCCGAAACGATGCAGATCGACGAATCCGTACGTATAGCAATCGACAAAGCGTACGCCAATATCCGTAAATTCCATGAAGCTCAGGTCGAGAATTCCACTCTTGTTGTGGAGACCATGCCGGGCGTTACATGCTCAAGGTTTGCTCGACCTATCGCCCGTGTCGGGTTGTATGTTCCTGGGGGGACCGCTATCCTCCCCTCGACGGCCCTGATGCTGGGCATACCCGCCCAAGTTGCGGGGTGCAAGGAGATAGTCCTTGCAACTCCTCCCCGATCGGATGGCAGCATATCGCCGGAAGTGATGTACGTTGCCCATCTCGTTGGTGCATCCGCCATTTTGAAAGCCGGTGGGGCTCAAGCCGTCGCAGCCATGGCATACGGGACGCAAACCGTTCCGAAGGTGGATAAGATCTTCGGCCCAGGAAATCAGTGGGTGACGGCCGCGAAAATGCTCGTGCAGAATGATACAGACGCATTAGTGTCTATCGACATGCCCGCAGGACCATCTGAGGTTCTCGTAAGTACCATTCTACCGTCTGGTCAGCATGGATCCTCATGGCACCTACCAGGTCATTGCCGATTGCACATCCACGCCTGCTTTCGTCGTCGCCGATTTGTTGTCGCAGGCCGAACACGGAGTGGATTCACAGGTCGTTCTTGTCGCAGTCAACCTGTCGGACGAGGAATTGTCAGCCATCGAGACGGCCGTGGATGAGCAAGCCCATGCTCTTCCTCGAGTTGGCATTGTGCGAGAATCTGTTGCCAAAAGCATCATCGTAAAGGCGTCATCCCCCGAAGAGGCCATCAGTTTCTCAAACGACTACGCCCCAGAGCATCTCATCATCCACTTGAAAAATGCAAGCGAAAAGGTTTCCCAGGTTGACAATGCGGGAAGCGTGTTTGTCGGACCATATTCTCCAGAAAGGTTCGTCGACAGCTGGTTCGTCATGCAACATTCTCCATAATCCTGACGTACCTTTAGTTGTGGCGACTACGCATCGGGTACCAACCACACACTTCCTACAAATGGTTACGCCCGTCAATTCAGCGGTGTCAACACCTTGTCGTTCCAGAAGCACATCACCTCCCAAGAAGTCACTGCCGCAGGACTCATGGAGCTTGGCCCCATCGTCGCAACGTTGGCAGATTGTGAGGGGTTGGAAGCTCATGCTAACGCCGTCCGAATCCGACTGCGGGAACTTGCCAAGTGAAAAGGTGGAGTGGTGAAGAAACCAAGGAAGTTTAAGCAGTCGAGTATCTGACGAGTGGTGGGGGTGTAGAATTATATTGCACGAAATGTGCCAGTGACCCTACAAGCTGAAGTCTAGCAACCACGAAAAACACGAAAGCACCAATAACATAGATAGAGAGACCAATTAATTGGTCCTATAGAGGGCACGCTTGGCGACCTTCACGATCAGGGGGGTATCGGGGAACGCCAAAGCCTCGAGGTTGGTGGCATACTAAATTTCACAGCGGTTAGTTGAGGGGAGAAACAAGCAAAAGAAAAGCACAAACAGGAGTGGGGACATCAGCGCCAGTAACTCGCTCGACAGGTGCATCAAGGTAGTCGAAAGCTTCGCTCTCGATGATCTGAGCACAGATTTCACTGCCAACACCAAACGCAGGGAAACCACCTTCAACGATGACGAGTCTATGGGACAGGTCAGTAAGACTCTGATTTGGGAGATATTGATACGCACCGGTTAGTCTTCTTGACTGAGGCCTTGATTGTATCAATGTCCAGAGGACGGATACTGCGCAAGTTGATCACCTCGGCCTTGACGCCCTCCTTGGCCAACGCCTCAGCAGCCTCAAGACTGTGAGTGACCATTTTGCTGTGAGCGACAATAGTGATGTCGCTACCTTCCCGCTCAACTTTGCATTTTCCGATGGGGAGGAGGAAGTCATCTCGCATCGCGGTCTCCGACATGGGGAACGTAACTCCGTAAAGCATCTCGTTCTCCAGGAACACGACAGGGTTAGGATCCCGGATGGCAGACTAGAAGAGGGAAATTCAGCCCGGTGTACATAAAAAAATTTAACTGGCTGGGTCACCTTCAGCAGGCCTTTGCAGTCCTCGGCACTCCATGGGCTGACAACTTTAAGACCGGGGACTGAACCGTACCACGCAGCGTAATCTTGTGAATGCTGAGCAGCTACGCCGGCAGCAGCGCCGTTGGGACCACGGAAGACAACTGGGCAGGGGACGTTACCGCCAGACATGTAGTATGTCTTTCCTGCCGAGTTGACGATTTGGTCAATAGCCTGCATGGCAAAGTTGAACGTCATAAACTCGCATCTGGTGTTATGGAACTTGAGTGGGCTTCATGTAACATGAAGAAGGGGGCTTACACGGGCCGTAACCCAGCGAGCGCCGCGCCGACTGCCAAACCAGCAAAGCCCATTTCTGTGATTGGAGTGTCGACAACCCTCTTCTCGCCGAACTTGTCCAGTAACCCTTTGGTGACCTGAAGGGCGTATGAAGTGCGATGGTACAGATGCAAGTGGAGATTGGCAATACCTTGTATGCACCCTGATACCGGGCAACTTCTTCACCCAAGATGAAGACGTTCTCGTCCCGGAGCATCTCCTCCTCCATGGCGACATTGAGAGCCTCTCGGACTGTCATCTATGATCCTACATGTTAAACATGGAAAATCGAGTCGTGAGACGCGAAACGTGCTTACCGAATGTTGTTCGGTGGCATATCCACGCGTCAGAGCGACGCGACGAGCCAGCAGCGATGCCGAGGGGCGTGCGCTGGCGAGCACAGGGGCAAAACGAGAGACGGCAGCCCGTGCAGACATTGTTTTGGTGGGAGGAGGATGGGAGATGGGGAAGAGGGGATTTGAGGCTGAACAAGTCCGATGTGAAGTCGGGCCGCTGTGATGCTGGCACGAATTTTCTTTTGGGGTTGAAGTGGGACCCCAGAAGCATCCACGATTGGTCCGAATTACTGTCCTGACGCTTTTCTCACTTTCGTTGACATAACCAAACATAACTTTGTCGCACAATAAATCCCCTCCGAACCATGGATCCTCCCCCTCGCAAGCCCGTGGTCGTAATCACAGGAGCATCAAAGTTCTCACAGTTCCATCTTGGTCGACAATCACTTGCTGACACTCCTGATCTAGGGGTATTGGCCTTGCAGTGACAAAGATTCTGCTCGAGGAGTTGAACGCCAATGTGGTGGCCATATCCCGCACCAAAACTCCAGAATTGGTCGCTTTGGTCGAAGCCAATAAGGATGCGCTCTTGACCGTAGAGTGCAGCGTGTCAGTAGCCAGTGCAGCTATTCTCTGGATGATGGTGGTCTCACCGGCTTTCATCATCCAGTACCGATGCGACTGGCTTTTCCCAAGCCATCGCTCTGGCAGAGAAGACCTATCAGCACATTGACGGCCTCATCTTGA